ATATCCAGAAGGAGTCGACGCTTCATTTGGTCTTGCGTCTCCGTGGAGGTATGCAGATTTTCGTCAAGACGTTGACCGGGAAGACGATCACACTGGAGGTGGAGAGCTCTGACACCATTGATAATGTGAAGGCTAAGATTCAGGACAAGGAAGGCATTCCTCCGGATCAGCAGAGGTTGATCTTTGCGGGTAAGCAGCTTGAGGATGGTCGCACACTTGCTGATTACAACATTCAGAAAGAGTCGACTCTCCACTTGGTCCTCCGTCTTCGTGGTGGTTTCTGAAAACTTGCTTCTGTTCTCTGTTATGATCTTCCAATAGAAGTTCCTCTGTTTCGTTTCTTTTAATAATACTTTCTGTGGTTTGTGTTTTGGGGTCTTTGTAAAAAGGGCCCTGATGAATAATTGATGAAAACATGTTTCCTTCATTATCTGTCGTTTCTTTCTTGTAAGTCAAATGGAATTTCTCTATTGGAATATATCGTCTTTGCTCTTTATCTTCGTCTTACATCTACGTAAATGTACAATATCTGCTTTTTTGTTCGTATGGGTTTTGCCTTTTGCTAGAGTCGTGGAATGTTTCGAGATTGTCCAAAGTGCCAACTTAGGTCTCAAGTCTCATTTCCTGGGTTATCTGCTAGTGGTGAGACTTGTCTCCTGCTTAGCTTTTATTTCCTCAAGTCTCGTGGTTATAAGGGATTTGTAAAAATGGTTGGTTAATGGAGAAACAGCTCAGATGTACCAGAAATGTGCCAGGCAATTTTCACGAGGATGTTTTTAAGAGGAAACTGCATGATGCGAAAGTGTTTTATTTGCTAATTATGTGGAGTGAGTTGTGGAAAGTTTTCTTTTTACCATCAGTCATAACATTACAACCGATTAGGTTTATACAAACATCAAACAATACATTTTGCTATGAAATGAAATCAAAACTGCAGAAAGTTGAGAAAAATACATCAGTTTCAGGATCCCCAAAAGCCATTGCAGATGTTATCAGAGGTTGGATATCAATTTTCAGCTTCTCCCATTATTATGTCATCAGCTAATAATGTCTCATAATCATACACTTGCTATCACAGAGAAACCAGTAGTAGAAAACTCGATCTGCATAAGATGGCCTTACCCATTTCACTCAGGAACAGAGAGCATGAGTTGTTGATTCCATACCGGGTTCAAATTAGTATTCACCAAAGTTGTTTGTAGTTTCTGAACAGTAAACCGAACATGGCAATTAAATTTTCTCCATAGATGAGGGTTAATAAACAGTATTACAAAAGAGATCACTTACTTGCTTCCCTGGATTCAACACAACATATGGATCACTTGACATCATGTCTCTGATGGCTAAGTTAGTACCTTTCTTAACAGTCACCTTCAACATTCCAATATACTCTACCATTCCTTCCTGAAACTGTCAAATTTTTATATTTTGACCTAAACAAAAAGTATGACATCTAAATGTACCAGTCAAAGTTACACTTACTTGGAAAGAGTAAAGATCAATTTATCTGAGATCATCTCGCTTTCTCGACTTCCCCATATGATTTCAGCTATTTTCTTTGATCTCTTCAAGGGACTGAACCAATGTAGCCGATTTACAAAACGCTTTAACAAACGAAAAAACCTCCATTACACAGAACCATAACAAAGAAACTAGTAAATCAATCATAAGGAGTCCTAATGAAGATTGGACCATCACACACAAGGGCAATGATACTAATCTATGATCAATCGTAATTTTACAATATCTATTTCTATGATTCTTCAAATTCTTAACGTTTATGAGATTATAAGATCCATCTACCGTAAGCAATCGATCAAAGAGCTAAAACACACCAACCATAATTTCCTGTCATTAGCAATTAATCCTATATATAATATATGACTAGAAAAATCTATCGCTCCGGCCACATATTACAAACACAGCTTACCAGGTCAGACTGTGGAAGCCAAGTTAAACAGAAGATTCACGGAAAGAACAAAGACCAAAAGTAAAACATGGGGTATGTATGAGTGGGGTAGACTTGTTACTTTCCTGATTATGCAAAGACGTAAAATCTTCATTACTAACGTGGAGCATGTAACACGTGCCTCTTCTAGTTGATATGAAGTCAATATTGTCAACAAAAAAAACAAAGTCAAAAGTACAACATATTTTTATAATCCATTTCGCTGATTTGGTTTCGGTCCGACCCTGAGTTGTTTATAGGTTTATAAAGAAAAAAAAAACATCTGACCAAGTTGAGTAATTAACTATGATTTCTTACTGTGTTTCTGTTTGGCTTGGTCTGGTGAAGATAAAATATACCTTGGAAGATAAATACATTAAAATGTAGGTGTATGTAAATGAATTATTATTTTCTTTTCGTTGTTCGGTTTGAAAATTGAAACCAACTCGAACCTAAACCTGCTGGTTTGAGAATATCATGATTGAAATTAAAGCCTTTAGACAAATGATTTTATTGCTTGGATTTGATCGATCGGTGTTCAGTCACATTTTATGACCTATCCTCAATTCAAGTGAATTGCCACCTACTGTTTTGTGTTTTTGTTTTAATTTGTTTTCGAACATACCTACTCTTTTGTGTTCCCTAGCTCAGATCATCGTGTTATGTTATAACGTACGTTAATAAAGTAAACTACACGTAAAGTTTAGAGAAACAATAGATATGATTGGTGGATTCAGACAAACTTGCCGTTCTGATCTTTTTGATATGGCATGGAATTGGTGAAAAGATACTTGCTGATTTTGAAAAATTATGTTTTTCATTTGCTTGTTTGTTTTTTCCCCCACATTCCTACCATTTCGCTATTTGGTGGCATTTAGAACGAGATAAAGGTAAAAAGTCACCGATCATATTTGAAAACAAAGTAAAATAAATAAAAAGATTTTAAAACGTTAATCAAGACTCGAAAGAGAGATGAAATGAAATGTAGAAAGAATCAATTCAACAGGCTTAGGTACAATGTTAGATAGTCCCACTTGGGTTTTCACCAACTTTGCCGTATTAAACCTTTACAAATATATGAATAAAAAAAAGGTTTCAACAACCCCATCGATTTATTTTTACGGCCTACAATCGCTTGTTGGTTATTTTCTTATGTTATAAAACGATATTAGTTTTAATCATGAATATGTGTGTTCCTTTCTAAAAAAAACGAAGAAAATGAACCAGAATTTATTGGAAGCTAGACATCACTTTTGAAACCTGAGGTCGCACCTATCTTTAACTTAAGCTAAGATTATAAACAAATACTGTATGACACAAGTCTTACATAATCATGGCATATTGGAGCTGATAGTTAATCTTTTATTTCCTGCATTCTAATAATTTCTTACAGAAACTTTTGGTGAGAACCTCATTTTCTCATTCTATCTATAAATACGAGGAAAAGTTGGTAAATGAACCAAAAAAATCGTTTAAATTAAATTAGTTTGTTAAGTTGCTAACTTGCTATCAGGAAATGACAAAGGATATTGGAAAAAAGAAGAACAAAATTATAATTTATTAATCCATATCTTGAACGCTTATATCCCGGAAACACAAATGTAACTGATAATTGGGGGATGTTCACAGAAAACAAAACATGTCACATAAAAAATACCACTTCTCAACATGTTCAAGTCACATAGATAAATCCGTCTAAAACATGTTTTAACGTATTTGTTTAGTATACCAAAAAATTTGCCGAATACCAATATGTTACTTCCAATCAATTAGAGAAACTTCTCGTATATTTAAGTAATTCAACGAAAAGTTATGATTTGTTTTACGCCTATTATCGATGGAAATGTAATAAATCGAGCTACGTATAGACGTATAGTTCACCTGTGAGCCTCACGTTGAAAGGTACGTAATAGCAACTGGGAGCCTCACGTTCTCTGTTGAAATAGCTATTCTACATCCACAGATATGTATCAGTACTATACTTTTTGAGTACCGTGGATCATTGGATCAATATACATTCTCTGAGAGTTAGATATAGATTTATATATTAGGATCATGTACATCCACAAATATGTCTCACAAGTCACAACTATACTTTTTGAATATCATGGATCAATATACATTTTAAGAGTTATGATTAAAGCTTTTTAATAGCCTCTTTCCATTTAAGAGTCAAAATTTCACATGTTGCATGTGCGACCCTGAAATTGCTGTCCATTGAATGTAACTAAAGCACTTTTTTTTTCTTTCAATTAAATATTTCAAAGTCGGTAAAAATTAAATTCAAAGCCAGGTGTTCTGAAATGTCCATGTGAATGTGATTAATATAATAACAGGTTTTAAATAATCATAAAGTATTTTTATATCATTATCTCTAACTTATTTATTCTAAAAATCCGGTTGCTTTCCTTGTGGCCTTGTGGGCTTTCTCTGGCAAGTTGTGATTGTGAGTGACCTCACTTCTGAATCTCTAATAAATAAATAAAAACATTTTGTTCTTGTTATTTCATTATCACTATTTGCTGATTTTTTAATTTCTTTATTTATGTGTCCATATAAATATGGGCAAAGCTGACGTGGCCCCATATTTGCCACTATTTAAGTAATTGACATTAGTCCAAGATAGAAGTGTTAGGCTGGTGACATGCTTTTGTACTACTTGTCCCATTCTTGATCAAACTTTTACTTCACCCACTTGAAAATAACCTTATGATATTATATATCGTGACATTAATTGATTTTGAAATCTATTGCAATCATTCATCACGATCAATCATTTTACTTGAGAACAAAATGTTTTAGTATGATTGTGACAGCTGATGTATAGATCTGATCTAACACTCGGATTCTTGTTTCTTGGAAGTATACTTTCTGTAAAGATATCTATAGACTTTACGAAAAAATTTAAGACTGCATTTATATTAAGTTTTCCCTACAAAACAAATACTAGTAAATAGACAAAATTTTAATAATGCAAATTGCCACACACAATAATTTAATGACAATTTCTGATATTTTTTACTGATGTTGTATGAATCAAACGTTACAGGGGATGGTGGTGCTATGGCTAACGGCGATGTTGCCGCAAGTGAAGCCATCACCGTGTGTAGCATCTGCCGGAACCAACTGCAGTTCCCCGGCGGCGACATCTTCTCAGTTGGCTCTTTTGTATTTCGCATTTGCACTCATATCGATTGGATCAGGCGGAATCAGGCCATGTTCTTTAGCCTTTGGTGCTGATCAACTAGACAACAAAGAGAACCCCAAGAACGAGAGAGTTCTTGAGAGTTTCTTCGG